CTGTAATTTGAAGAGGTTACCTGGTTTTTCATGATAAGGCTGATTAGCTGCTATTAGCGGGAGATAACATGCTCTTCTATCTCTCCTGTGTCTTATTCCAATGACAAGATATTTCTGCTTTCAGAATATGTACTGATTACCCTCTACCTCGTAAGAGAAAGGGCTACTCTCAGTTTTTGAGTCTCAACTTCCACACCTTCCAGATACAATGGAAATATTTTCATACCAATTTTGAGAAAAGACCTCTTTCTTACCAGAGAAATCAGTGGAGAACAAAACATTACTTTCTAAGCTATTTCAATTGCTGCCATTCCAGAAATACAAATTTCAGAATTTTATGCTCAGCTTACAAGGGTAGTTCTTGCTGACCAGAATAAGGACCACTAATGATGTCTTGACTATCACAATTTTATCCTACAATGGCTGTGGTAACTAGCAAGTTCCACTGCTCAGATGGACTTTCAAAATGTGCCATTAAGTCAGAAGACTTGCAAGAGTATTGATAGCCCTTCCACAGAGATCTGAACTTCCTCTGATGTTAAGATTAATTTTGTGTATTTGTTTGCAAAATAAAACATCTGGCCCTCCACAGAAAGTAGCTTTGCTTACCAGGATTATCTTCATCCTTTTGAATTTGAAATGAAGTTTTTCAAATGACTTTAAATCAATCCTCATCACCAGGAGTAGAGATTAAGCTTTAGCGCCGCTTCTCTACTAAATACAACAGAGCTAGGATTTTTCATGCAAGATCTTTGTGAAAGTTGCTGCTGAAAATGAAAATCAAAGCTTTGTATAACGGGGTTTGCTAGTACATCAGACTGCAAGGAATAGCCTCTTTTGAGGATCTCAAGCCCTCAGCAGGCAAAAAAGGGGATTGGAATACTTCTAAGACAAAAAAAAAAAGAACAAAACTGAAAATCCTCAACCATACAATGAAACAAATCAGTATTCAAAAATACTTTTCAATGGAGAAAGGTGCAGATCAGTTGCACTACACTCTGTTAGACATGTGGAAAACAAATAAGAGGCTATTGGAAGGACAATGATGTGCATTGCTGAGATTTATTAGATGTCAGGTAGAAATGGAACAAGCCTTCTGATCATTAGGTTGAATACATTTTGTAATTGTTTAGAAAGAAGTCTAGCCATGAATGAATGAGATGGATACATAGTTCCTACTTTCAAACCATATACATGTAATACTAATAAAGAAGAATATGTATCTATGAACATATATGTAACCAATTATAGCTAGCTATGGGAAAGGGATATTTCTAATGCACACAATGTCATTAGACTGGATGAAGTGCTTGAGATCAAAGAATTTCATATTGGCTTTTGTCATAAAACAAGTTTTGTGTCTGGAGTTCAGTTAAGCCTAGTCAAAAGAGCCAGGATTAACCTGACCAAGACAGAGGTCTACAATGACATCTATAGTTAAAGGAAAAAGTTAGGAATTTCTAGTGCCCAATTTATCTCTCTTTTAAGTAGATATCTAAAGCAGGCCAGATGAATTGTACTCTAAATGTGCCCTAACTTCTCACCTTCTATTATAAAGGGAGACTGGGATGACTTGCTCAGACATTGATTCATTACTGATATTTTCCAGAAAGTACAAATCACCTGTGACTGATGATTTCGAGATAGAAACTGAAAAATCTAGCACAGAACTTTTGGCCATACTGCAACAACCACAGTCAGAGAGACAGTGAGAATGATAAAGAATGTTTAAATTATCTTTGACTAGTCAGGTGAAAACAACTTTCCCATTCTGGAAAAGTTGTTTTTAAGGCTATTTCAATCTTTACTACACCTTCATATTTCAATTACATTGAGGAACTTATCTTCATCACAGTCAGTTGAAGAAATCTGATGAACCAAAAGGTCTGAAGGCCAGGCAACTTTTTAGACCACTTGACAGGCTCTTGCATTTAAATAACTCCTGGTTTAAAGTCTCCATGTTAAAATCTTCACAAATGCAGAGAAACTGAGACGTTTGACATCCCCAAAGTCTTAACTAATTCTAATTCTTTGGTACTGTGAATAGAAAGAAGCAGCTCTGGCAATCTTCACTTTTGTAGGACTGTGTTTCTCAGACATCCTTGCAATGCAAGAGAATAGTTCTTATCTGATATTTTCCTTGAGACTGTGATAATAAATACAGTAACACTATATATGACATAGACTGAACAGAGAAGGAGCTTTCTTTTCACTTTGCAAGTTCTGCTTTGTCTGACTAAGCATAGACTATTCTGGAAGTACTGCAGACCCTTTAAAGTTATCAGAAACTAGTAGGAGAAACTCAGGCATTTGAGACAAACCTACAACAAGGAGTAAATCTACAGATAGATACACATCTGCTCTTTAGAAGCATACACCAATCACATACTGTAATGTGCCTTGAGACAAGCACGGTCCCACACTGCCTTAAATATATTTCAAATAAAGATATTGCCTCATGTATTAAAAAAAAAAAGGAAAAAAAGAAATATCACTAAGAGCAAAATTAGTATCTTACTTAAATACTGGTAATCTACCTACACCTATTTTACCCTTTCCCTGACAGATTTTCTCCCTTAATTCATAGAAATCTATCCCAAAGAAGTCTTGTACAGTTCTAACAATAATAATACAATTTGCTGTATTGAATTAGACTGACAAAAAACAAATCCTTTGCATCCATTTAGTGTCATGTGGAATGAATAACAGAGAGACTTTACTTCCATGTGACAACTGAATTTTTATCAATTTTTTTAATAAATAGAATTTTGCTTTAAAATACATATTTTCTCTTAATTGCAACAATACACCACTCTATAATATGTTAAAACACATTAAAATATAAAATAATATTCAAATATTACATGCTTGCTGCCAATATCTGAAAGCATGTCAGATCACTGAAGAGGAATCAATTGGCCTAGCCCACTGGAACAAAAAATTCTTGAAAAGACAAAATAAGTTCTGACTTTTAGCCTTTTCTGACAGTGTTGGCATTTTTTCTTCATTTCACTTCCTGCTAATGTTGTTCAAAACTGAGGAACTGGCTTCAGAATATAAAATGCAGAAACTTTTTTCTTCTCTAACAGGTGAAGCAGTTATGTGTAAGAGGCTGAGGCTTCACAGAGTTAAAAACCTGAAGGATGTCATGATATTTACAAATAAAATAACTAGCTACAGAGAATACTTCCTGTGTTGAATAATATGTTTCTAAAGCTAAAACACTTTTCTTTTGCAACCTGATCAGACTTCAACTATAGCTCTGCTGAACTATTTAAAAAACCCCTGTATTTCACTTGAACTCAACGTAAATCAGGTATTATAGATGGCACAATTTTTAAAAAATGCTTAAGCTGAAATATTTTGGTGAGTTTGTATGGCTGCTTCTACTTCTTTTTAAACTTTTTTGTCTACTTTCATTACATGTATTTTATTCACTTACTATATATGGTTAAGAAGAAAAACTATTTGTTTTTTCCCTTCTTTTGCCACCCATTATATCAAATGTCAAGCTTTGTACAAGTAGCAATATAATGTCATGTATATCTTATAACTTATTTTTATTTTATTAAGTTTAATGAAAATTAAAATGTGTTTAAATGACTGTGTTTTGAGGCAGACTAACTAATCCCAATTTTCAAGCAAAGGTGGTTAAAAAGAATGTATCCTACACTTGATATGCAGAAATGGGCTCTAAATGCAATCCAAAAATAAAAAAAAAAAATGAAAGTGATATTTAATTAGATTTTAGGGGTTTATTCTGTAATGGCACATAGCACTGTAATACTTTCCTGAACTAAGAGCAAATTATTTTTTTATATCAATGATGGATTAAATCAGCAACTATGTCACAACATTGAATATTACATCAGCAAATTGAATAATTTCAAAATATTTTTTTTTCTTTCTGTGGCAGACAATTGTTTCATTAATCAAAATCACAAACCCTTGCTACTAGCTGTTAGAATTTAAACCAATTTATAATATACATACATGCACACACGAAGGTTTAAGAAATGCCAGATTAACATAGTGATAATTTAGGTTGATATGATGAGCATTTTAACACAATGCTCCCAGAACAGCATATGATAAACATAAGTTGCATTGTTACTAAAGTACAAAGTTAACTGTTTCTGTTCTTTATAAAAATGATGCAATTTAAAATCTCTCAGGCTTTTTATAAATCAATGTTTTTAACTGTTGAGATTTTTCAAAATTACATCAAGGACAGTTTCATCAGATTAAAATTTTTAATGTATTTTACATTTCTGTATTTGCAGCACAGTGCATGTAAAGAAATGGGAAAATATACATACAAACTTTGCTCTTTTTCAAGTAATGACATCGGAAAAAGATATTCCCTACATTATACAGTATCCTTTTAAACAAATGAACAAACAAAACAAACCAGGCCCAAAACATATAATAGTTGCTCTGGTCACAAAAGCGGTTTCCTTCAAGAAAAGCACAGCACAGCACATTAACTAACAGGCATAAAATAATTCACAATACATACAATATCAGAGGTTTACATACCATCAAGAAGGCAAGAAGAAAAGTGAGAAAGGAAGGCAAAAGAACAGGAAAAGCTATGGGGGAAGGGAATAGTACAAAAGTACTACATTCTTTATGTGGTATGTAATATTTTTAAAATAGGTCTGGTTTTATTTTTATGGACTTAGTATTGTAGCAGAAAAACCACAAACCAAAAACACTTAAAATTTTCCACATCCATTCCCTTCTCTTGAATGCTTTTAAAATTTTATTTTATTTTATTTCACAATAAGTAAAGTTAATTAATGGTAGTAGAAGTGGGCAAGAGATTTCCTAGAGAAATATAGGCAGGAAGTTAAAGTTTTAAAGGTATCATCAGGTCTGATCTCCATGTAACCTGAGGCGTATACTTATTTATCAGCAATTACATCACAGTGAGTTCTTGAATTACATTACATTAAATAAGAACACCCAAACAGGTTAGGAGATGATGTTAATATTACCTTTGTAAAATGAGTGGGCAAAGCTCTGCTCAGGAATTAACTTGGCAAGGAATCCATGGTTCAAACTTGGGTGAGGGATAGATGGTATGACCACAACTGTGGAGAAAATCATGGAATCAAATGTGAGCCAGCTAATATTCATGTGTGGCCTGGTCCACTGTGGATCCATGACAGATATCCTATCTCATTGAAACATGCAAATATGGTATTATCAACAAAAAATGCATTTCTAAAGGAAGAAAACAAGTTTTGTATCAAGAGATAGGAAACAGCATACCTATTATTTGGGCACTTCAAAAGCAACATTCATGGGGAAAAAGAGACACAGATAGATATAGATAGATATAGATATATATATACACACACACACACAGGCAAGACAATCATGGATTAAATAGTTCACTGAAACTAATTTTCTTTGTGCAGAACCATAACATGTAACTAGGAAGGCACAAAAAAATAAAAAGTTTTCTTATAACTGATCACGTTCATGTAGCATATTTAAAATGGACAGCCTACAAGCACATGGACTTTAAAAATTATGTATAAGTAGTAAAATTAAAACATCATGATGAATCAGAAAGTAATGACTAAATGTAAATATGACACAAACTGGAAGATAAATCCTATGAAGAATAAAAACTAGAAACTCCATTAAAAAAGTAATTAAAAATCTACACAAGAAAAACATACATAAAGTTTCATGAACCAATTCAGTTACTGTTTTCAGCTCTTTTAACACAGAAGATACAGTTATAACTGATCCAATCAGACTTGAAAAAACCTACTGAACTGACAGTGTAAAATATTTGAAACAATGTGGAGCAAAGTTTGGATTCCTAATTTCTGATGGATTCTGACAGCTAACAGACTCCCTCCCTCTCAGACTGAAGAATGCATGCTGGTAAAAAGCACCACTACTACTAAAAATCATGAACAGTTCAGTCAAAGAAGGCAATACAAAAGTTTTCTTCTTATTATATTCTTTCCATAGGCTTTTAATTTCAGGCATCAACACAGCAGGACTCCAAGAAATACTCAGTCCTCTACCACTACCCTTCCACAAACCTCCTCACTCAAACAAAAAGAGTTCACATGGGCAAAGAGCTTTGTTTGCTGTTTATACACTTCATGGTATAGAGTTAAAGATATCTGTTCTTCTTAACAAATAACAGATTCAGGAAGTTGTGCTCATCAACTATCTTGTACTTTACAGCTTTAACTCCAACAGGCACCCTGTTTCTTTTCAATTATTTTCAAATTAAAGAAAAAAAAGAATAAAAAAGCAATATTTAAATAAGAATTAGTTATACCCTATAAGCAAATATAGAGAATAACTGAAATCTGTCAATGTATGTTAAAGAACTGAACGGTTATAGAGAAAGTAACTAGCAAGTAAATTCCTATTAGGATCTTAAGCTAATCACTAAAAATACTTTGTAGAAAAATAATTAAAATTCTTAAAAAAAAAAAGAAATAACATTTGAAGAAAACAAATGTACCTGTACTTGTTGGTGAATTTATTTCTTGTCTGATATTTCTACCTGCCTGGCTCCCAGACCTTGCAGTTTCTCGTTGTGGCTCTAGTATATCGCGGTATTTGGAGACCATGAGAACAGAAATAAAGTAGACTACTGCCAAAGCTAAGAACTGAGCCTGTTTGCTGTCATCCTGTGTTGGAGAAAAAGGAATAGGTCTATAATATTGGACATTTCCATAGAATTTCCATACAAGATCATCACAAGGCTTAATAAATCATACCTTTCTGAAACACTGTATCTGTTAGCATAGTAGCAAATGGATTATGTAGAAGATCTAACGGATTTTCAGTGGAGTACTATGCACACAGCATGTATTCAATATGATTTTTACAGGTAATTTGGCAGCTACAGAAATCTCTGGGACTGCAGAGTCAATGGGCTGTTCAGAACAGAGGCCTGACTGCTCTGAGAGTGTTTTCAGGGCTTCCCAACAGCAGGAGAACCTGACTTTTACTGCCTCATGGAAAGCCTGAAAGCTCTTGCCACAAGCAGGTAAGGGGTCCTACTGCTGAGAGGGAAAACTAAACTGGCTGATGCTTTTCCAGGTAACACTGGATGCATGAGCAGGCTTCTGTTAACATGAAAAAGCAGGAGAGATATGACCATTGTTTTTCTTACAGCAGTAAATCCCAGCTCATGCATCCTGACTTCTCCTTCATCAAGATTGTCAGCAGCAATCCTAGTTTTCCAGGACTCTTGATTTAAGCAAATGCCAGAACCAAAACAACTTTTCTATCTTCTTTTAGTCCCAAACCACGTAGCCTGCTATTCTATGGCAACTACCATCTATAGCTCAGATAACATCATGATTGAGCTTAAGCTGCTGTAGTTCAACTGAAATGTCTTTTTTATTACTATTATTATTGTTATTATGGTGTAAAACCATGGTAGAATTAAGACTTTAGTCTCTATCTACTCCTCTAGTGGTTTCACCTTATCTCAGTTCCACAAGCATGCATTTTCTATGACAAATCCAGTGCTTGCTTTCCATGTTTTCTGGGTGTAATTTAATTCGGTTGCATGTCTTTGCAATTCTTAAAATAACTAGAAATCCTCTTATTAAGTTCTTTCATAGAAATGCCATAAACGGTATTTGCCCTATTCCCTCTCCTCTAGTTTAGAGTAGGAGGCAGAAGATCTCCACCCAAATTAGACCTTGCCCTTTCAAGATGATCAGGTCATCCTGACAGATTATTTTTTTTGTGTCAAGTTCTACTTTCTTCTTTTTAAAGCTATTTCTAACATCAGTCTTCACTTCAAGCCACTCGAACTTAAACATAACATATCTATTTGTGTATAAATAATAACAGCTCCTTTTGTACTACTTTCAAAACCAAATACATCGTGACACAGTTTTATGCTAAAAACAGATGCAGACAAATTCGAATAATATTTTTATATATATATTTTTATATAGTATATATATGTCTAGAAGAAGTAAAAATTGTCTTTATAAATCAATTTGCTGCAGTTCTGTAATACATATAATAATTTTTCCCCCTACTCTGGTGGACAAATAGATGTTCATGTTTAGTAATACAGTTTTAATAAACATAGGTCATAACTGATTTTTTATGGCTGTGTTTATTTGGCTAGTATAAGATCAAGTCTGACTATTACACACAGCTACTAATCTCAAAGAGCTTACCAGTATGATTTGAAAGTGCAGAAAGTGGCTGGGAGTCACAAACCCACAAGCAGATGGTTTGCAGATAATATACAAAGTGCAACACATGAGAGATATTTTTAATTCTGGTACAATCAAAATCTCTTTCAAAATGTAAGTGATGACTTTGTAGAAGAAAGAATTACAGCACATATTACTCACCACATCACGAAAAACAACTGCTCGTAGACGATTAATATCAACATCCTGAAGAAGCCTATCAGGGTCTTTTATAGGAGAAAGATTGCCAGGGACATTTTCAAGGGGAGTCTAAAAATAAAAAGCAGTGAGAATTTTTTCCCTCCCAAATATAAATGAATTTCTGTTAGAAACTTAATTGGACACCTGTTTTAGATATTGCATCAATCTTAGATGCTTTTTTACTACCAGTATACTTTCAACATAATACACAGACAAAAGTTCTAGAAATAAAGCAATGTTTTGATTTATTGTCTTAATAGTAACTATTCAGATATAAATTGTTACACGTTACCACTACCTCAGAACAACTGTATCTCTTCCCAGAGATAAGATAATTTGCACACAAAAGGTTACTTCAGTTTACAGTTGTTTCATAGCAGTACAATAAATTATTTCTAATATATGTGTTAAATTTAAAAATGACAAGCAGAAATATTTTTAAAAGTCAGTTTATGTTCATTTTATTGAGAATTATTGCAGACAATTCACAAAATAACTGCTATTATTACAAAAGCATAGAGTCTTCCTTTACAAAATTACAATGGATTACAAATGATGCCTAAACACCTAAAAGTCTCCGTATACTGATTTCCTTTGCACTGAATGTAATAACGTGGAGAAATGTAATGTTTTTTTGTGAGATTTAATGAAATAATATTGCAAAAGGAGCTGATTTTTTAATGCTATCAGAAAAAGTCTTAAGAGAAGATAAACAACTGCATTTAGCAGAGAAAATACAGTAGCAAAAAATTGAATTCTTTATGTCATACAAAGTGGTGTATTTTAGTCATGGGTTGTGCAAAATTCTTTTGAGATTTTAGTTCCAGGACTCCCGAAGTCTTAAAGCTGTGAACAAGTTAAAAATGAAACTTGAAAAACTAAGCTGTAACTGAATATTAAACAAGTTTCAATCGTAAAATCAGATCGAAAATACTGATGTCTAATATACATGCAAACATCTGTTGAAGTTACCAGAACTCAGGTGTTCCACCAATAAAGATGTGATTTCAGGTTTTCATCAAAACTGCAAGTGCCCTGACAGATTAAAAAAGCCATGCAGGTATACGTGACAGATGTGAGTAAGGGGACTTGCTCTTTGAAGTAGTCCGAGAAAGAGTGAAAAAGCTGTTTTAAATTGCTCCAGTCATACTACTGCATTAACATTTTCTTGTTTCAGATAAATCCTCTCATGCACTTTTACTTTAAACCAGGTAGCAGAAAAAGCCTAAGCTTTTGCCAAATATTTGAGAAGTCAGTTAGAGTTATTTTCTGATCCTATATAGCAGTGGTTCAGACTTGTCATTGCTGATGGAAACTGAAGACCGGGTTACCTTTGTTGCTGCTGCTGCAGTTACGCTCTGAAGAGCATCTTGAGTTTTACTGCTGATTAATGACGTCTTGTTCACTCTCTCTCTCTGCCTTTGCCGACATTCTAAGCAGTTTCTCACAGCCACGCAACAAACTAAAAAGAAGTTATGAAAATGCTACATATTAGAATATTTTCTCATTCTTATGTTCAAAACATCAATTCTGTGTATCTAGTTTGGTATAGTCTGTGTTTGATATCAGTATATTTATCATATTATATAGTATATTGTATATAGTATATTATACATTAATATATTACATGTCAGTAACGACATCCAAATAAAAAGTGCAACATAGCTCTCACATTAGACTGTTGGTACGAAGAAAGCATTATGGTGACTTATTAATTCCACTCTGTAGTTGAATAACTATATGTTTTATATAACTGCTAGATCACTATACTAAAATTGGAAAGTTATTAGTTCTTGAGTTGGTGCTCTCATATGTAATGGATCATTTATAAACACTTAAAATCTGAAAGTACTTATGTACAGCTAGAATAGAATAAAAATAGTAGGCAGTAATTTAGAATTTGATGAAAAGTGATCAATGAGAATAAAGCCCAAGTTTTATACCAAGAGCAGTATAATTATCAGTGACATAATAAGTGGTATGAATAATAACAGGACAAAATTGGAGTACAAAAATTATTCATCATTTGAGAGATGAAAAAGGATACGACATTAGCAAAACAGCAACATGCAAGATGACAGTCAAAATTTAATGCTCACAAAGATAAAGTGATGTAATTTGCATCGAATAGTTTGAATTATTAATAATTTTTTAAATTTCCTAATTTATAGTAACAGTATACAACAAATAGTAAATAGTTAAGAGATGTGCCAGATTGTTGCAACATATATTAAGGTCTACAGAGTTCACACATGCATCCCATGCTTTTAATCTTACATAGCCCATAACTAGTCTTCCAAATCCATGGAGACTTGGATAAGGGAACATGCAACATGCAGGTAGCAAAGAAGTTCTAAGAAAAAAAATCTCTATTTACTTATATTTAATATTTTCACTCTCCCAAAATATATACAACTTAAAATTCAGAAGAAAGACATGTCATTTTAACTTATTCTTGTGCCTAAATTGAATCAACCTTAAAACTGTATCAAATCAATAATAAATGGGATTTTTATTCTGTCACATCATAGTCAGTACAAGCCCTTTCCTTTATGTGTCACTATTTGATCCATCTGTAGCTCATTGATCTGTAAGTAATTATTTAATACATACTGTCTGCCGACTTACCAAGCCTTAGGCACTGCCGCATTAGACCTCCAGAAGACATGTTTTTTTCAGCTTCAATCTCACTGAAATTTAGAGAACTGGCAAATACTAGCACATCAACCATTGCCATCAGACGGCTGAGAAAAGTTACTGCTGTCTCTGCTGACATTCCTTGTGTAACTTCAATATTTTCCAATTCAGTCTTTAAAAGGAGATAATTGAATTAAACAGTTTGAATATAACTGAAACATAAAGACAGCACATACACACACAAGACTAAATTGTTATACTTAATGACAAATGCATTGAAAAGTTATTTAAAAGCCTCCTACTACTACCATTAACAAAAACTGAGTGAAATTCAAAGTAAGACAGCATGAAGAGTGAGAAAATTATTTACATTTACATGCTGTAATAGACAAGAAAAATTCTAATATAAATGAGAAAGTTATTAGCAATTACATAAAGACTAAATGTGGCCAGATAGTAAAAAAATGCACAATATAGGTGCACGGTAAGAGTGCAATGTACCCTTACATTCTTCCATAGGATAAGCAAACTGGCAGGTAACAAATGAATGTAATTACTGTCTGTATAGCGTTTATGTTCCTTTAGAGAAACAAGTGACTGTGAGGAGTGGAGTGCGAAAAACTGGGCAGTTTTGCCCCATTTCCATTAATTGATTCACCCTGGAAATGCTTATACCATAAAGGAACCTGACAGAGTCCAATACTCCTGGAGACCAGAAGAGAGCACCCTTACTCCCTCATAACAGCAGCAGAGGGGAGTGAAAACATGAGAAGTTGTATGGCGTGTAGCTCACATTCCCAGAGAATGGTCATTCCTTTCCTAATGGACTGTTGGACTCTCCTTAATGGCGATCCACAGAAAAATGTTGTATGAGCTCAATATTACTGAACAAGGGGGCACGTTTTTTCTCCAAAAAGATACTTAGATGTCCAGAGTCATGTTTTTCAAATGCATTCAGGTATCTAACTGTGCCAATATAAGTGATTAAATAGTAAGTTTAATTAAAAAATAAATATATGGTTAAACTCTTTTGCCCCTGGAGATAGGCAAAATTGAAAATGGGATTTAGTACTTCACTGTGTCCACATTTGTATGTCTAAATGCTGTTTTTAAAATCCTTTATGGATGGCTGATTCCTATTGATTGTCAACAAAATTTCAGATCGCAAGGCTTTTCTGAACGCAGAGTTTGGACACTTTCAAAAGTATTACTTCTATTGTGTTTGTTTAATTTTATTAATTTGCTTAGAAGTAGCTATTAAAAAAGTAGAACCATATTATGCTCTGTTAAGGTCATTTCCTTCCAAAGAAAAAGAAATACAGAAAAATAAAAATTATTTAATTCCCATACTTCTAAAAAAATTAGTATTCTCACTCATGAGTCACTTACACCAAAAATTATAAAAGTGCAAATCATGCCAAACAGTACTAAGGGAACAACTGTTCTGAAATATGAAGGATATAATGTGGCATGTGTCACCACAATGATAGATACCACTTCATTTAATTTTTCTTAGGGATGTAACATGTCATTCCATGAGTGATTTGAGAAAGTCTGTCATCTGTCTGATCTGCCCAATAATATCAGGCAAACGGTAAAATGACAACTCTCAGAACTATTTCCAGCCTATCTTCTTTAGCCAGGTCTTCCCTGCTTAGCGTGCGCTGTTTCATTTTTTGGAAAAAATAAGTTGCTGGGGTTTTTTTACAACAGATTGGAACATCATTTTTGAAAGCACTCAACCAAAGAAAATAGATTTGCAAAAATCTATAGCCATAACAGTCTGCTAGAAAAACTCATAGGTGGTTACAGAAACTTGAACTTTGAACTTATGCTTGAAATAACATCAGGCTTGCTAGCAGTCAACTGACTGTTGTTGAGTTTTCTCAAGCTTCAACTGTACTGCATCAATCATAGTCTTTACTCAGTATATCTATTTTTTTTTGCAAGTTATGTAATAAATTCATTTTATATAAAATCTTAGTATATTTTGCCAAGATTTTTGGAAACTTCCTATTGAAAAAAAAATAATATTTTTTTCAAATCTCCCTAAAATTTGTCTGGATGGAAGAAAAAAGAAGACTGACAGTTTTCTTAAAGCAAAACTTACCATGAGTTCTACCTGTAAAATACAGCACATTGATATTCTAACAGTGTTTCAAATAAGCTCCATTGCTCAAGCTGCCTTCAGGTATGAGCAACATTTTAGATAGGTGTAGCTCAAAAACTTTTTAAAAAGTGAAATGACCACCATTTTATGACTACTCAGCGTACTTGAAGAGCAGCAACAGGTCTCCCATACAATTAACATGTTCAAGGCCTAAAGAGGTTTTCCATTGACAACCACATTTATAATTTAACTCACGGACTGGCCTACATTCAGTCCAGTAGCTAACAGTAAGCATCACACTTAATGCATTAAGTTACTCAAGGAAAACATGCAAGACGAAGTTAATAATTACACTAAATATATTCCTATTCACATCTTACTATATGATATCAGAAAATAATTATAAAAAAGCCAAAATATTAAATGATCAAAAATAAGATATTTTTAAAAATGCAAAAACTGAAACTTACAGCAGCAATACTAACCTTAGAACCCTGGACATGCAACAGACAAAACAGACAACAGATCACAACAATAAAAGAAAAAAGAAAATTATTTAAGTCAACTAAAAATACAATGCAAAATTGAAACAAATTAGTATATTGGAATTATAAATTTTTTAAATTTATAATTAGAACAGCAAAACATTTCAGCTCAGCATGAACACTTGAAAATAAAGACTTCTAAGGGATAGCTATGCATAAGGAAAGGAAAACTGTAAATCTTGCCTTATTATAGAGTTCATGTAAAAACTGATTATTCCAAACCAATGTACATCTTTTATATAGTACATACAGCAATTTTATGAAGCAATGTAAACCAAAGTAATGTTTTCACTGATTATGTAGAAACAAAAGGAGTGTTTTACAACAAGTCATTCAACTGAAATGTAATAAAGTAGTTAATCTTTGTATGAGGAGGCAAATATGTTTAAAATGCTTTGACAAAACAAACGTAAATCACAAAAAGCAAACTGGTTCTTCATGCGTAATGCTCCTTCCATTGAAGCAGCACATAGCTCATTATATATATTACATTTCAGTGTGATTTCTTCAATCTAAATTAATATCATACTGGATATCTGAATGCTTTATGAGCCACTGTAAAGAAAATTAAAGACTCATTAAGCCCCTGAGACTAAGTCAGTCTTTAAATTTCAATGTTCACAATTAAACAGCAGTGTTAAATTTTTATGTTTTAATTTTAGGTAGAAGCAGTTTCTCTCTTATCACAATAGGCTAGAAGCTAATCCTTAAGTTTTCACTGGTTATGTTTTAAAAAGAGAAAGAAACTGAATTTTCAAGAGTATGTCAGTATTTTTGTCATTTAAATAGTGGTAAAACCTAATCTAACATAAAGAAAAAGAAACTTTCTTTCCTTTTGGCACAGAAAATACCACGTCCAACAAACTTTTAAATGAATCTTCTTCTTTTGTAGCTAATGCACCTCGATTAACCTATGGCAATTTTCTACTAGCTGACAATTTTTACATCAGTGCACCCCTGTTGTTTCTCAAAATTGTAGATCACACAGCACCTCTGGCATCACGTCAGTCATGAACATGATAATGCTAACACTGTACACAGGACATACACCAAAATATCACATCTTGGGTTTTAATCCTCAGACCTAATAATGTTGTCTTTGAATGTTTAATTGGGTTTTGTAGACAGCTGCTTATATAAAATCAGCAGCACTCAGATCACAATTTGAGACCTGCTGTTTTAAACACTGTAAAAAAGAATTAGAACTACAGACTTCATAGACCAACTGGTAAAACAAACCAGTTGCAAGGGGTCTGAAAATCTGCTCTTAATTGTCACATATATTTCAACTCTGAAATTTCTCTTGCCTTACTCAATGTCTTCAAGTCATTGTCACAGTTGCTACCATTGTGGTAAGTAAAGATTACTTCAAGTTCCTAGCTTGTACACAAAGTGTTTTTTCTGGCAATGAGCTGCTACATAAATGAAAGCACCTTCTGCAAGCCTTTTTCCTTACAGCTCCCCAAAAAAGCTATTTTTCACTCTTGTACATGATCTTAAAAATGTCTTCCTTACAGTTGTAATTATAAAAATCCAAACCTCAAAGACCTACCTCACAGAAAGAAAAACAAAAGGAAATCATTATTTTATAAATTATGACCTCCTTTTAATATTGGCAGAGTTATCTAATATCTCCCAATTTAATTAGCAATACATCAGAATCAACAGTGGAACACACTCCAGCTTATATTGTAAAACAACAAATCTGGCTATATTTTTTGGTTAGTATTTGCTTCCACTTCAAATCGTTTCACATATACAATTGTCAACCCTTTAAAAACATCAGCATTCGAAGCAAGTCCTTGTACAGACCCTGAGACAGAGGTGGTATAGAATTGAAATCAAGGGAAATACTAAAACATGTGAAAAGAAATTACTGTGAATTACAGTAAACCCCCCCAAGTATTCAATACAAATATAAAACTTTTACTCTACGCCTGAGTCACTCACAGATTTGTGAGTGGTTTGTTTTTACAGATAATGCTTTTTTTTTGTCTTCTTCCTGTTTATATTTAAAGACAGCACTACTCAGTTCATCTTAATCTGGATTAAAAAAAAAAGCAAGCCAAAAGACAGATTTCTATTACGAGAATTCAACAGTGAGGAAATTCCATAAGATTGCATGTTCTACAGCAGACAAGGGATCATGGAGTAATTTTCCACCCAGTCCAGAAGAATTGCCATTTCACTACAACTCCAAACTATGCAAAGGAAAAAGTCTTTTTGAAATGGGAAATTCTCCTATTGTTCATCTTTTTAAAGAAACTGTGACAATACTATTTTTTCAGCAAGGGAGGGAACACAATACAGAATCTGTTACACGAAAAAAAAAAATTCTGCTATTTCTCCAGTATTTTGAAAGTAATTTTGCTAAATCTATCTCTTGATTCTTTTTTATATATAGCCTGAATTAATTCAAGCATCCAATATTAATTATCTATTCTACTAATGAGAAACAGGTGAAAAGCCTTTAAAAAAAGTGAAAGGAAATGGGACACATGTACTAAAAACTAACTCCATAGCAGGTTGTTAAGAAGAGCGTTTTGTAACAGACATTTAGGACTGTTCAGGAACCAGCAGCCCAGGATGAGATCTTGCTTGAACTCAGAGTGAGCGACACACTGAAGTCAAGGAACTGTAGATAGGTGATACTGATAAAGGAACTACATGTTTCTGTCTGTGATCTTCTCTATTAGAAAACAAGTAAGCTGCCTCATAAAAGGAGGCTGGATTCACTGCAGTTGATGGATGCTACAGGGCTGATCAGCCACTAAAAGTCTGCACCAGAGATAACTGAATTATTTGCTTCTATTAAGTAGATCTCCATTGGGTATAAATCTTGTCCACATTTAAGGACTTAAGTGGATACCTGAATTTACCCTGTTCACTTCCTGAGATCCATGCTGTTTTATCACCCTGAAGCAAAAGGGTGGAATGACCTTTACTGTCTGTCCTGTAGCCTTTTTGCTCTCATATTTCATTAATCCAGACCAAAAATTAAATTAATCTTTACAAGTAGATGTAAATTACATGTCCTATGCCAAAAATACAACACACTAGGAGGAAATAAGGAAGAACTACTACTTTAAAATTTCAATATGGGCACAAAAAGGAATATAAAAGTGGGAATATTTGAGAGCTACCTTTCATGAAAGTTAAAAAGGAAGAAATAAAGTAAAATGAGCTCATTTTTGTTGATAAACTGAATATATGTATTCTACAGGATCTACAGAATGTGAGGGTTTTGACACGCCCAAAAAGCTCCAGAGAATAAAGATACAGAGGATCAGAGGCTTCCAAAGACAGACAGACTAAAGAAGATGAAGACTCTATGGATTCAAACAGGCTCACCAGAAGATATGACTCAAAATCATAAATGATATGGAGATACTACAAATATGGAGATACTACAAAATCATAAATGATATGGAGATGAATAAAGACATGATTAACCCCTCCTTTCATAGCATAAACAGCAAGGTACATAGTCATCTCAGCAGGCTTAAAAAAAACCAACAAATAAAGAACAAAACAAAGACAAGTGTTTCAAAGGTTATATAATGACTTCGTCAGACCCAATGCCATAGGTTATTGTGGAGGCTAAAAGAGTAAGTAGCTTCAAAAAAGGTTAGATAAAGTCTAGAAGGATAAATTCCTCAGTAGTTATTAAACATGACAGCCTGGACACCCTCTCTAGATGCTAATATCCTAAATGCTGAAACGAAGTCTCTTAAGACCAATCAATATGTCTGCTCAGACTTCTGAATTTTGATGTAAGCTGCAGTCACTATTGGAGGCTAAACCAACCAGGCCTTTGGGCTGACCCAGTAAGGCAGTTTATGTAAACTGCAAATAGCTAGCTTTTATAAGAGTAGTGCACTTGACTGGACTTCTATTACCATGCCCAGTTTAAATTACAGAATCACAAATCACACAGAATCACAGAATGGTTGAGGTTGGGAGGGAATTTGAACTGTATATCTTGTGGGAAAAAAACATTCATTAATGTCATTAACTACAACATAACAGGTCCCATCTGAAAATCACGAAACACTTTTACACTGTTACGGTGACTGAGCATTAACACAGGCTGCCCAGGGAGGTGGTGGACTCTCCACCCTTGATGATATTCAAAAGCCCAGAACACAGTCCTGGGAAACTGGCTCTAGGTGGCCCTGCTTGAGCAGGGGGTTGGACCAGGTGACCTCGAGAGGTCTCTTCCCTCAGACAGTCTGTGATTCACTGAGTCAGCGAGGGAGAAAGCATATTGGGTTTCTCTTCCCTTGCGAGTTACTCTGGCAGAGACTGTCACTAGAAGGCCTGCCATAAGTGTTTTTATGCAGTGAAGATGTCACATAAATCTTCCATTTTCAGACCTCTTCTTTCTTCCAATTAGCAGCTCTTGGAAGGAGGAGAGTGAGACAAAGTCTCTTCTAACAGACTGTAAGCACTGGACTACTTTGCTCTTTCAGCACTAAGAAATATACTCCTAACCAGCAGTTCAACCACTTTCTCCACATCAGTTCAAGGATGCAAAAGTACTAGATGTCTGAGAACCAGTTCAGCACTTCTTTTCCTTCATCATATGATGGATATTCAGAAGTGGTCTGATGCTCAGAAGGGTATCTGGTCCCTTCATAACTGTGTTCTAGAACAATAATGAAGAAAACACCTTCTTTAAGAAGGAGGAAAGATGTGCTGGACTTTTTGTATCTGTAAGAATGATGAACAAATCCACCTTTCTGCTAATATTTATGGGCGGGCAATAATGGAACAGGAATGGAGTTGAATGGAAGGGAATAAGCTCTCTGGTAGGTGGAAGTGATTATGAAATCATCATCTAGACAGTAACAGTTATTTCCAAGTGAATTTAAATTGTTATTTTATCAATTACTTCTCCCCACCCTCCCTGTACATCTGGGACGAAATAAATACTTTTTTTTTTTAAATATAGGATTAATTCAGTTTGAAGACAGCTACTGATCTTTCATCAAATTAGCTTATTTCACATTTTATTTTCATTTAATTATCCTAAACAGATGGCAAAATTGAGCATTTAAGTAATACACACAGTCCTCATGTAGTGGAGAAATGCATGCATAATACACAAATTTGAAAATGTAGTCTTTTATATCAATGCATCAAAATCATAGAATCATAGAATCACAGAATGGTTTAGGTTGGAAGGGACCTTAAAGCTCATCCAGTCCAACCCCCTTGCCATGGGCAGGGACACCTCCCACCAGACCAGGTTGCCCAAAGCCCTGTCCAGCCTGGCCTTGAACACTCCCAGGGAGGACCCATCCGCAACTTCCCTGGGCAACCTGTGCCAGTGTCTCATCACCCTCACAGTAAAGAATTTCTTCCTAACATCTAGTCTAAATCTACCCTCTTCCAGTTTAAAACCATTCCCCCTCGTTCTATCACTACATGCCCTTGTAAAAGGTCCCTCTCCAGCCTTCCTGTAGGACCCCTTCAGGAACTGGAAGACTGCAACAAGGTCCTCCCAGAGCCTTCTCTTCTCCATCACTGCTATTGTACCAAGGCAGTGTCAACACACCATATTTTAACACACGGATGTGTAATTTTTAAAGCTGTATCAGCTATGTATCTATACACACGCATATATACTTAGTATCCAGAACAGAGGGATACAGTGAACTGCAAAATTGTTATTCTATAGAATGGCTCTGCAGTGTCATAAACCAGGATGAGCCAAAAAGCATCAAGTCCGTTCAATGGAACTGCAGCCTAATTAAAGCTGTGCCTGTTTTATATTTTTATATAAACATCTTCATTTTCAAATGCTGACTAAAAGGCTTCTTTAAAAAAATATCTCCCAATGTCCTTTTATCTAAAGACTGCATCTCAAGATGGCTAGGTGTACACTCTCATACTTTTCAATACTTACAATGAAGCACTTGCAAAATCTTTTATTCAGCAACCCTGATGTCATTCTTGTGACCACAGGCAACTAAAGTGTTTCCTGTGAGTCTTGCACTTTTGTTTATAGCAAATACTTTCCCAGTTAACAGGGAAAATATTTAGACATAGCATTTAACCATTAGTTGCCTGGCTGAAAGTCATATTATTGTTTAGCCAATTGCTAGTCCATGCATTCATACCTTTCAGACAAAATCATGCAAAACCATTTTCTTTTCCCTAGCTAAGAAGAAATAGTAAAAGCAAAGTAAAATAATCTGAGTTGCTGAATGGCTAGAACAAGGAGTTGAGCTTTTACTGCCAAACTACATTTGTAGCCTTCAATGCCTACTGGCCACATTACTTCAGAGGAGCCTCTTAGTCCCATCTCAGCCTCAATTTTCCCATTTCAAAGAACTATACTAACTGCAGATGCTTATAGGAGGTACAAGATAAAACATTTAGAATGAAAGAAATAGTTCCATATGTTATATGCACAGAAAAGGCATCATGTTAAAATACTGTAATTACTATTGACAATAATGCAATATTTACAGAATACTTCTCCCTTTTTGTGAAGCATTCCGGCAGTCTACTCTGCCTGCCTGAACTGTGAGCGCCTAAGAAATTACAGCATACTAAGAACATCAGAGTGGATAAAAATATTCAGCTTATTTCAACACAAGAGTTAAGAAAACCCAAACCTAAATGCCAAGTTTCAGGATCTACTGAAGGAAGAAGTAAACAGAGTAGTGAGGGGATGGCTTCTGGTAACATTTGGCATGCAAAAAAATGGTGGTGATGCAAAATAGATTTCTGAATATCAATGACTAGCCATCATAAAGCATGTAACCCTGTTACAGTAATCACGATTTGTAACCATGATCCTAATGGTCTTCTCTTTCAAATGATATATTAAATATCTATGAAGTATTATTCTTACTTAGTACTTCTTTTCTAATAAAATTAGCATTTGAAATGCAAAATATGATAAAAATTCTGTCTATCAAAGCTTAAAAGTTTCGATTATAAATTAAAATTTTTGAAAGGAATTAGCAGAGAGGGGACAGAATTCTTTAAAGAACAAAAGTCAGCTGCAAATAGTGGTTTGTGTTAGCAAAAACAATTTCTAATATGACCACTAGGTGGAAATATTGTACTTACAGTTGGGGATGTGGCTGCTGACAGCAATGGTAAAATTCCTCCACAAGCAATAATAATATTGTCTACCATCTGGGAAATGAGGTGTATTGTGTTGTGTACAAAAATAATATTTTCATTGCTATTGACAAAGTCCATCACAGACTTTGTGGAGTGACTGCAAGAACAGAAGAAAGGATGGATTAAAACCAAACAGTTAAAAGAAAAGTTTAGATTAATTTATTCTCTGCAACCAGACTGTGAATGTTTCTTTGATATAAAGGTAAAATCTTGTCTACAAAACTTTGCATGTTAATTGTCTAAAAATTTGAACAGGCCTGGTCTAATGAACAAATTGATTGCTATCTATTTTCACACCAGGATTAGTTTCAGATACCCAGTTGAGAACAGCTTGTAACCTGTCATTCCCATCAACCAGAACTTCACAGGCAGTTCTGCTGAAAGCAGCGGGGTTGTTTCTTCAGCATGAAAGTTATTGTTTAATAGTAAGAGTTCACCATACTCCACCAGTGCCATTTGAAGCAGCCTTGATAACATCTAATGATAATGCCTGCTGGTGTTTTAAAGGAGAAACTTCATAACATGGTGATACCTTGATTGAACATTAACTTTATTAAATAATATAACATTTAACATTAGCAATAGTAAGGTTAGTTGAAATTTCAGTAACTCCAAATTCATGCGAAATTGTCCCATGAAACAATCACTCCCCAAAAATATAAAATACTGTGTGAAAATATTGATGAATACTCCATCTAGAAGTATGTTCTTTTCCCAAAACAACATTGTTGCCAGCCAACAAACAAAAAGAAAAGTCTTCAATTGAAAATATAGAAACTGAACTTTAATCTCCAGGCATTACCTAAACATGAAGTACTAAATTCCTCCCACATATTTGGCCAAAAAAAATTATCAAAATTGTCTGTTTTCTAGTGACTATTACAGAACAGTTCACAAAACTGGAAATAAATTCAATGAAAATTGACCCTTGAATATAACTATGCTCAGGTTTTCTGAAAATGAACTATTCTGTCCTGGAAATTAGATTCAATACCATCTGTTCTACCTAAGGGCTCTGATAATAAGTTATTGAGTATCTCTGTTAAAGTATACAGAAAATCTAGGAATTGACATTGGTGTCAAAAATTATAGCATAACCACCAAGACTAACTACAATCAGGAGGTAGCATGCAGAAAGCATTGTCAACTCGAAAGAGTGATTCCTTAGAAAATGTTAAAGAGTTTTTATTTATAAGGTTTTCAGGTAGAAAGGCTCTCTTTCGACTGATGAATTGAAAAAAGTGGCCATTAGCAGACACACAGGTCTTCCTCGAGTTTGAAACAGAAGCAGCAGATTCTAAAGTTAAACATAAGCTGAAAGAGCGGCTCGGTTTAGTTAGGTATGTATGAGTTGTACAATCTCTCAAGAAAACAGAAACTGTTACTTGTGAAATAGAGCTGTTCAAGGCTGGGGAAGGGTGAAAAGAGAAGATAAAAGGTACACAAGGGCACTTCAGCTA